CACCCCACCGCGCCCCACCACGACACACCCCAGCCGCTAATTCATTTAGTGAATTTACCCAAACATGACGTACGGCGCGAGCATAAATTAGCCGGTGATTAGGTGGAAGGGAAGGACCCCATGGGACCGGCCAAGAGGAGGACCGGCCGGCCGGCCGCTCATGCCGCTCATCCTCCGAGACGCCATAAAGACGGCTACATGGCAGAGAACAGAACGGCCCGGGCCCAGGGGCCAGGGGCTGCGGCCCGCCGCGCCATGGCTCCCATGACCTTATCCCCCCACCCCCTCTCCTTACAATCTCTCCTTTCCATTGGCACCTTTAGCTGCCCCGTGTGTATATCCCATGTGGACCCCAATGGCCCTTTCATGACCTCCGCTGGTCGCCCCCCCCCCCACCACGGCCCTCGCGTTGTCAGTAGGCCCCTACCGACTCGCGTATCCGCTCATTCAGTGACAGCGTTTTTAAAAAAATACACTACACAAATGAAATATTTATTTTACTCATAATTTTGGTCTTTCACTTCACCCTGCCCCTGGTTCTGCTGGTCGTCCCACGGACCTAAACCAAACACACTCGAAAGAATTTGCGATCTGGCCGGCGGCCCCCGGTGGCGTCCTAATCTATGAGCATGTCCCCACGTCGGCCCCCGGGCCGGCCGGTCGTAAGGCCGTACGGCTGCTGACTGCCGCTGACAGGGTCCGAGTGAGTGACACGGCGCTGCTGCTGCCCCCTCCACCCTCCCTTCTCGGCAGCGGTCAGCGATCAGCAGCAGTCCCTCTCTGACCCGCGGGGGGCCGTCCTCAGGTCAAGCCAGCGATGGCCCGGCAGGCCCGGGCTCCCCAAACAGATTACCCACACTGTTAATAACGAGCACCGTCTTAGTAAATCGTCGAGCGTAGGGCCCCGCGAAGGCGCCGTGCCGTTGACCGTTAGTGGCCGCGGACGTGGTGATACGGACCCGTGCGGACCCACAAAACAACAAAAAGTGCAACTTTGACTTAACCCGATGGTCCGAGCGTTGCTGCTAGCGGTATGAGAGATCGGCCTGAAAGTACGGCGCCGTCGACGCGAAGACTGATGTGTGCAGGGCCGCGGCCGCCCCTGACGCGCCCGTCTGCAGCAGCAAGCAGCGGCACATCCTGGAGCTCGTCGCGGAGTCTCTGATTTACACCGTTCCGCGGACGACAGTGTACATCATTGATGGATGAGTCCGGCCGGGCCATAAATCCGTGGCTCTCCTCCATGAAGACCGTCGTCGTCCTCGTCGCCGTCCCGGCCCCCCTGGCTAATGCCCATCCTGTTTACACGCCCCGAGCCCGCTGCTGCAGCTTTGAAGCGCTCCCGCCGCTGCTCCCGCCGCCGCTGTTTTGAGCTCCCTTATTCTTATCGATGTAATCTCCCGCTGATGATGTCTGCCTCCTAGTTTCCTCTGCCCGGGCGCCACGCCACGCCGGGACCCGCGCCCGATTGCCCGGTAGCTCCGCGGTAGCTCCGCGGTGGCAGCCGCCGGACCGCCGGTTCGTTATTTCATTTGGGAGGTGGAGCAGCAGCAGCAGGAGTAGTAGGCGGTCGGAAGTGGTCGGCCGGGGCACAGATCAGCGTGAGATTAAGTTCAATGGGTATTGGCTACCGGTGTGTCGGGCCACGTACGCGCCCCGCCCCGGCTCACCGAGCAGGGGAAGGGCTAATTACAGTTTAAATCACCCGCGCAATAATTCGGCGCGTTGCGGGGTTGTGTTTTCTGTGCATACAGCAGATGCAGTAGCCAACGTTTGAAATCAAACCCGTATAAATCGCGGGAAAAGGGCTTTAGGGCTCGGCACGACGGATCGACTCGCTTGTCGCGATAATCTGCGATACGCACTCGCCACTCATCTCTCTCGGCTCGGCTCCGCTCTGTGGGTGCGCGAGCACCTCCGATGCCCCGTAGCCGGACTAATTTGGGTCATTGGAATTATATAGTGGCCCCCCAATAACAAACACCGGTTAGCTACTGTAGTCCGGAATCAGACAGAGGGATCTACGCACGTCCACAGTCTGCTTCATTCCCAGCTTCCCTGCTTGCCCCCCCCCCCCTCCCCCGTTTCGTTCTTGATCCTCTCTTCAAACACTGGCGGGCCCCCGTGGCGGGCCGCCCCCCGTGCTGATCACTGATGGCCGATAAGGGCAATGCTGCACCGTGTCGCGCATTCTAAAGCGATTCTCCCCCTCCCCCTCTTCCTCCTCCCCACTTTTATCCCCTGTTTTCTCGGTTGCGGGGCAGACCCGGTTTTCGTACCGACCCCCAATTGGATGATGCCCTTCCCGGCCAATTTTCGGGCTGTTTAACAACTCTCGACGAAAGCATCGCAATATCCATCATCTGTACGGTGCCGACACACTATTGATGGCAACCCAACCAACTCCCACGTCGAAAACACAAAATAAAAAGAAGAATAAAAACAAAAACAAAAAACGAACGGAACGCGTGATGAGGTGTTGGTTTGGTTCGCGGAACTGCAGGCTCGGCCCGCGAAATTCAACAGCGGGGGGCAGCAGGCACGATGCGTGATTCGAGGGGAAAAGCAGGATGCGAGGCAGAGAAAGCAGGGCTTGCCGAGGGTTCCTCCGCAGCGCGCAGTGCGCACCCTCGATTCTCGAATCGGCAGACTAGTTAATCTCCGTGCTAATCTGCCTGCGGAACGGTGCACACCAGCCTCTGTTTATCTGCTGGTCTCCTCGACGTTAGCGCGCCCCGCGCGAGTGGCAGCGTGTGGCTGCGGCAGCGAGACCCAGCCGCTCCCCGTTACCCCTTCTTCGACGCAAATTAATGTTTTAATTCGGACCAAACAAGAGTGTGTTTTCTCTGCCCACTTGGATTTGAAAGCACTCGCCGAAGCGCTCGTTTCCGCCACCACGACGCCAGCGCCCCCTTGCGGCTGCGTGCCCAACCACTCAGTATCGGGTCATCCTTGCCACCCGGAAACACGGGCCTGTGCAGGCAGTCTCAAGTCCATTTGTGTATGCTGGTGATTTCATTCGCTAAAATTTCAGTTTTATCTTTTTGAAGTCACTTTTAGAAGGTACGTAAATTTGCTATGCTGACACACACAACTCATCCTGATTTACTATCAGCGATGCCGCAAGCTGAAGTGCTGTTTCGTCTCTTTCATAACCTCCATTTCCTTACCCGAGGTTTTCCATTTCAGTTTGTAGGGACTGTCGCTGACGCTGGTGAACAGACAGAGCTTCTGTGGAGGCGAACCGGGACAAACTGCGTTCCTTCTTCAGGTAAGTTCCGTTCGCGTTATCAAAGTTGTGGATCCCCAACCTATGGTGTCTCACCCCCCACGCAGATTAGTGATACTCTATATTTGGTTTCGCCTGTTTGTTCTCTTGCTTGCTGTGTGACAAGTTTCGCCGATATAGCCGTTCCACTGGACGGCGGGTACAACACCCACCGAATAACGTCGATCGGGAACGCTGGCCGCCGTGGCTGTCCCGGCCGAAAAGTGAGGTTACGTCTCTCTCTTTGTCGCGCTGCGCCGCTAGCTGGCTGCGACGGGCCGGGTCCCGCGGCCGCTGGGCGCTGGGCCGTTTATCTCGAGGGTTTTATCCGCTTCTAGGTCTCTCTGATTGGGAGGCTCCCCTTCCTCGGCGGTGTAGATTCCCGTTAAATTAGGTCCGGCCCCGTGTATTGTCCCTATTCCCTGCGCGATCGTCATCAGCGGGCATTCCGGCGCCGTGAATGAATCATGAATGGAAGGAGTACTCGGTGATTTATCAGCTGCAGGCTGCTGCGGCCGCCGCTTGCCGATTCTCTTTGCCCTTCTAATTAGTTTGCTGCGCGGCCCGGGACGACGCGATACGGTCCCGGCGCGCCGCTCCCACTCCCCCGAGGAGGCCGTAACTTAGGACCCCCCGCCGACCCGCGGCCGCGGCCGTGCGACAGTCAACAAAAGGAAATTCAATAAGGACGGGATGGGGCGGAGGGGCCAAGAGAGCATCCTGGCCATCTTGGGGCCGGCGAAGATGGGCGAGCCGCGGGCTGCCGGCGGCGGCCGCGGCGGGGGACAGAAGGGGGACGGCGGGGGCGCTGCCCGGGGCTGGCCCCCCGCTGGGGCCGCGGAGAGGCAGCGCGGTCTGCCGCGTCGAGACCGACTACCTCATACAGGAATGTCGTCACATATCGACTGGAAGTAAAACGAAGAGAGAAGTGCGCCTGAAGCGTCGCTTCGATACTATGTTGGTCGGCCGGGGCCGCTCGAATGTGATTGGATGCAAAGTAAAGGGACGCGGCGGCGGCGCCCTATGAGTGTGGCTGGGTCAGCGGCAAGTGAGGCTGGATGCCTCGGCCTCCCGCGCACCTCTCTGAAAACAAAAAAACCGTTAACATTTCTTGTTAACCATCAACGGACCCGTAGTTAAGAAAATTTTCTATTTCATAGTTTCGAGCAATTTTTTTTTAATATAGAAGTTTGCGTGGCGTCATAGCGCCTTCTCACTCGTACAATATGCTTTTGGACGCCATTTCATGCCTGGTCGCTGCATTGTTCTTGTTCTTGATGTGTCCTTTTGCGTGATATATTATTGAATAAGCCTATTAATCATTACTTTTATAAATGAACACAATTTTTGGCATGAGCGCTGGGCAGCGCGCGCGGGGAGCTGACTACCCATGGAGCAAGGTGTCTATTGTTGCTCTGGTATCCGGGCGATCCGGGTGTGGGTGTGGATCTACTCAACAGGTGGTGTTGAACCATGATGCCCTCCCCCCAGCGCCAACTGTCTGGCAGAAACGGGTCCGTTTAAAGGAAATGTTTCAAATCGTGCGTAAGTTACAGATAGGAAAGGGGGACGAGAAAAGAAAGAGTAAGGGGTTGGGGGCGTCCGTCACCGAGAGAAACCAATTTAAAAAACAGGACCTAGAGAAGATCGTCTTCTCAATTCGAGAGATTCGTTCCCCCAAATGGAGGGTCCCCCCGCGATCAGCCGTCAATCACACGTGGGCGACGCGGTCGCGGCCCGCGCCCTCGCCCTCCCTAGGACGTTATTCAAATTAGCGGGGAGCCCGGCAGTAGTGCCGTACGCATTCGATAACAGGCATAAA